GACACGCGTGGGCTCCCGGGTGTGCAGGAGGCTGTGCCCGGCAGCCCCTCGGAGCCCCCCGAGCCATGCTCGGAGTGGGAGCTCAGCCCTGCGCCCTTCCCGGCTCCAGGGAAATGGAAAAGATCCCGAGCCCGGGCAGCCGCGGGAGGAGGGGTTGGAGCGGAGCGGGGCTGGAGCTGCTGCGGCTTCTCCCGAGAGCCCCCCGGCTTCCCGCAAATCCCTGCCAGCCCTGAAGGGCCACAGGGGAGGGGGCAACCCAGCGAAACCCTCCGGCTGCGCGGCTTTGGGCTGTGATGTGTGGGAACGGCTCGGCTTTGGGAACAGGATTTATGGGCTGTTGTGGGCAGCGCACCCTGGTCCCTTATGCTGCTGCCGGGGAATCCGTCTGGTTACAAGCGGGAAAGATAAAAGGGCAGGGAAGGCATGTGATTCCCCTGGGGGGTGGTTTTGTTCTTCCCCAGAACTGGCTCTGGAGCGAGGGAGAAGCAGGTCGGTGTTTGGGGGGTTTGTCACCGAGCTGCCCGAGTTCACAGCGGATAAATGGTCAGGTTGTGCCTCTCCCGACCTGCGCTCCCAGCCCCGTGTGTGCTCGGGAGGAGGTGCCGAGGGCAGAGCAGGGATTCCTTTGTGGCAGCCCTGATTTGGGAATGTACACACAGTGTTCCAAGGGTAGGAAACAATGAACACCAGTTTCTTCTGCCAGGAGTCCAAGTCTCCTCTCCCAGTCAGGATTCTGCCTCAAAATCCCTGTGAGAATTTGCCTTTTTTTTTTTTTCGGAGTCATGTTATCTCAGGCTTCTGTCGAGTGTGAAGGCAGCTATTCTCATCCCACCAGCTGAGGAGGAGGATGAGAACACAGGGATCTGAAAGGCACGTGCAGATCCTGGGTGTCCATATGGGAGAAAAAGCTGCAGAAGGCAGGGTCACTCCTGGGGACAAAACTATGCATTTAATGAAGATTTAAATCATCCCTCATTTCTGTTCGCAGAAAGTTCTACAGCTAAAAAAGACTCGTTTCCTGTGTATGTGAGTCTTCCTCACTGCTGAGCAGTTTTACTGGTGGCTCTGAGGAGGGTCCTCCTGGTTGAGGTTCATAGCACTGCAACAGGCAGCTGTCTCAGGATTTAATGGAGTTATTTTTGGAGATTTAAGGTAGTTGTTCTGTGCCATGGCTATAAAGTACTGCAGGGTATTATTTTGCCCATTTTGGAGTTGCAGAGTTGAGATGCCAAGAATCCAAGAGCCTTATTCCTACTGCTGGGCTGTAAGGAAGTAAAAAAAAAAAACCCAAAACCCAAACAAAACAACCCAAAGAAAACATCCCTTCTGTGTGAGGAGAAGCAGCAGCAACTGTAAAGGACATATTTGCAGAATCATTAATTTTGATTGTCTTGAGGAACTTTGTGTGGTCACTGAAATAGGGCAATCCATCATCTTGGCAGGGCAACAAGGTCCCTGTTCTGCTCCCTGCTTTGGTTTCTGACACTCTCAGCATCACCTTGTAGCCCCTGTGGCAAAGGAGACTTGATGCTGCAAAGTGGAATGGGGTTGTTTTGTTATTTACTTTTTCCTAAATCTCACATTCAGCCGAATTATTCCCCATTGAACCACTTCCTGCAGGAATTTCCATGTGCTGATCTCTCACCTGCTGCTCGACTCCACAGTCCATCAGCCCCTCATTTTACCAAGCAGCTTAAAAAGCATCATCTCTCTTGCAGTACAGAGAAGGTGAACACTGATCTGGGGAATTTTTCTTGCAGAAACTGAGGAACAGTGGGGGTTTTCCGTTCTTGGAAAACATCCTCTTTCCCCAAAGCAGTGTGGACTCAAAACATATGAAGCAATGAGGCGTTTGCTGTTTGGGTTGGGCTGCTTTGAAAGGATTTTTCCCTTTTTGCTTACTTTGTAACTTTGTGAAGGAGGTTCTCCTGTTACTGGAATTTGGATGTGTAAAGAGCTCTCAGTTACAGTTTGGAAAAAGCCTCGAATCAGAGATTTTTACACTTGGATCCTGGAGGGATGGGGCTGGATGGCTGCCTGCTTTTAGGATGTGTTCACTGTGCACTTCAGGACTCCACATATGAATATTCACTGAAAAGGTGCTTCCTCAGGCATAAGGCTTCCCCAGCCACACAGAACTACTGTGGTTCCTGCAGAGAGACAGGGAGCTGCTCTGCAGTTTTATGCAATGCTTTTCTCCTTGGGAAAAATTCTCAAGTCTGGGAGGAATTTCAGGTCACAGTGTTCCAGCCCTGGACAGCAAATAGTTGAGCTGGTGCCTCACTTGCCTGGGAGGCTGTATTTGAATATTTTTCTTTTCATATTTCCCCTGGAGGATCTGGAATAACTGTGGCTATACCTGGGACACTGCACTGGGAGGAGATAGGAGTCAAGGATAATACTACCTTGCTCAGGAATTTGGCTGTTGTGTCTTAGTTCCCACAATGTCAAGCTGACCTGCAGCTCTTCCTTTAGAAGAAATTGATTCTGGAGATAAAAATTGTGAAAAGCTGTTCATTTTTCTTCCTCTGTGTCTTTGCTTTACCATCAGAGGTTGGTCCTCAAAAGCTCTGTGCTTATGAGGATATATTACCCAATATTCTTATAATATATATATATCTATCTGATATTTGTCCATGAGGATATATTACCTCATTCAGTTCCCTGCCATCCAGAGGTTTTGCACAGTCTTTAGTCTTAGTATTGATGTAATTGAATGTTCTGGGCCATCTGAACAGCTGATCCCATGGCTGCTGCTCCCTGAATGCTCCCAGAAATCCAGGGATGCCCAGCAGGGTAGTGATTTCCCAGCCAGAGCTCTGGGTTTCTCCTGCAGGTATTGAACAGCTCCATCAAAGGTACCAACAGCTCAGTGTCCTAAAGCAGGCAAAGGACGTGGCAGCATCTTCAGTGTGATGTGTCTTAAGTGTTGTTACCATGGAAACAAGGTCTCCATCTCTCTGTGTTACACTCCTTACAAACTGATCCACGCGGAGATGTGAGGGGAAATCACACACCTTTGGATGTCAGGGGTTGTAGTCTGCCCTGAATCCTTTGCCTGTGCAAAATAAGTCCCCTATAAATAGGTTTTAGGCAGTCCTGTGTCAGGGGAAGTGCAAAACCAGCTCTGCAATCACTTCCATGTGAACTGCAGGTTCCAGATGACCAGGGAGTGTGAGAGGCAGAGGGATTGCGAGTAGCTCTGAAACTCCTCAGAGACTGCTCAAAACCTCTTTTATTGTTTACCTCTTTGGTTTTAGTACAATAAAGAACCACCAGTGTGGAAAGAGAGCTCTAATCTGTCGTGATCTGTGTTTCGATGTTCAGGTTACACAAAGGTGTATTTCTTCTGCTTATATGACTTAATCTAAATAGGAAAACTCACCTGAACCAAGATTTATAACACATGGTCAGATTCACTCTCAGCATCCCTGGTTTTGTTCAGGAACCAGAGCAGTGTCACTATTCCATAGTCAGATATAAATGAGACTGGAATATGCATTTACCTTAAACGTGGGAGAGAATCTGCAGCTCTGGGGTGACATTAAAACAAAAAGCCCAGGCAAACAGCCTGGCCCCAGTAAATCAGCACCACGCCTGGCTCCAGGACAATGGCTGGATGTTCCCTGTGATTTATTGGAGCAGGGCTGCCGAGCACAGAGGATAACTCATTGTGCTCAGACATAATGGGTCTGTCTTCGGGAGCCGGTGTAACCCTGTCATCTGTCAAGCAGCATAAAAGAAATAAAACCCAGCACTGAAATATCTTCTTGGAGCTGGTTGGCTCCCAGCTGTGCGTGGTGGAAATAAGTCCTGGCAGAGGCACAGCTGAAACAGGTTAGAATTGGGAAAACCTGGAAGTTTAGGTGATGTTTCAAAACTCTCCTCTCACCCTCCCTTTAGTGATGAGCATCTTTGGAACATCATCAGAGCAAAAAAACCAACAGACATTGGTGCTGTTGGGTGTGCAAGGTAAGCAAGGATTTCTGCCCTGAATTTCTCAATTCATGCACTTTGCAGAGACAAGCAGGAAAAAGGGGAAGGTGTCTTACCTTGATCTGGTGGAGGATGTTCCTCAGCCGCAGAGCTCAGGTGGCTCGTGTAGTTTCTGGGGTGGAACTGAGGTGTTTGTGCTTTCTGGCAGCCAGAAATAAATGCTTATTCATGTTCTCAGCATTGATGCCTCTACCAGTGATGGAATTGCAAAGTGCTGTGCCTAAATCTCCCTCTCTTTCCCTTGAACACTCACTCACTCACAGGTGGCTTCCAGTGCCCAATGAATTAAATGCTGAGGCTTCTCAGGGAGATTAACCCTTTCCATATTGGAAATCACTTGATTTTACATCCAGACTGGAAAACACGTTGCATGGCAGGCACAAGCCCTGCTGCCTCTAAGTAGACAAGGTGACTTCCTGGCTTATTAGCATTTATTGCTTATTAGCATTAGCAAAGTCTCTTCTGTTACAGCAATTAGTCCTTAGGAAAGTCCTCTAAATTTTTCACCATGTGCTTTACTTTTTCCCCCAAGAAGTTTTTCAGGTATCTATGGCAGGAAGACTTCTGGAATGCAGTGTCTCCTTTCCACACTTAATTTCAGTGCAGTGATGAGTATTGCAATTACATTCTTAATACATTAATAGTACAATTATATGCACGTGACTTAAAGGGTGTATTTTTTGCCTTGTTTTGCTGTGCAGGAAGACAGATCACAAACAAAATGAAGATATTTTACTTTGTTTTCATTGACTGAGCACGTAGAAGTTTTAGCTGTTCCATTAAATGCACTGTTTAGGTCCTTTAAAATGACAGAAAGAATTCCTGTTTCCAAGGAAATATATTGTTGTGTTTTAGTTTGTGGCCATCACTCCTGGAAATTGGGATTAGGAGTGGGTGCTGGGTCTGGAGATGCAGAGAGGAACCTGGCTGCCCAGCAGGGAGGGATTTGGATTCCAGGTACCCCTCTGTGGTTGGAGTTTCCGATCAGGGACTGGTTGGGGTGTGTGTGGTTCCCTCAGGGTTCAAGGACGTGTGTGTTCCTTGTCCAGCAGAGGCTCTGGGGCTCAGAGAGGCAGGGCCCTGCCTGTCCAAGGTGCCTGAATATCTTTATTATTCCCTATCCCTTGCCACTGCCACCAGAGCAGAGCTGTGCAGGCAGTGGGTGTGTGGGATGTCCCCTTGTCCCTGCCCAGGGTCTGTGCCAGGGGAGCTGCACAGACACACGAGTGGGTGAGGGCACAGGGCAGGGGGTGACCTTCACCAGCAGCCCCCACTGTGACAGGGGCTGGGGACAATCTGCAGCTCTGTCACAATCCTGTAAAATGTACAAATAATGTCAACTTCAAAGCACTCTGTACCCAGAGCTACGAGGGGCTGACAAGCGTCTGAAAGAGAGCATTATCCCCATTTTACAGATGAAAGGGAGTCACACAGAGAATCAAAGTCAAGATTAGATTAATAGGCATTGATGCCAGAGGAGCTATTATGTCTTGTCTGGCATCTGGCAGAACAGAGCAGAGAATTTCACACAGATTGCTCCATTAAATCCTCAACCTCTGTTTGGGCTTAGAAAGAGACCCCCAGAGCTGACACAAAGACACTGCACCATCTTCAAGCAAGTTGCTTGTGGGGCACTAGTGGAAGTTCACATCATTTCCCAGTATGAGTTTATTTAACTTCCTCCTGCCTCATTTAGTTTTGTTTGAATAATATTATCAAGAGGCCCACACATCACCCAAAATTTCCTTTGCATTTCTGCTCCCCAGAGACAATTATCAAGCTGATGCTTCTCCAGCTGCACAGGGAAGACAAGGGGCAAAAGGTATAAGTTGCACTGGGAGAGTTTTCATCTTGATATGAAAAGGAATTGTTTGGGGTTTTTTAATTCAGTGAGAATAATCAATCACTGGAGCAGTGGCAGAGGCCCCAGCCCTGGAGGTTTACAGGATTTACCTGGGCAGAGCTCTGGGTCATCTCATCTGGGCTCCCTTTCCCATGAGAGGTTGGCTCACGTGTTTTTTTGAGGTCCCTTCCAACCTGGGCTGTTCTGTGATTCTATCAAAAATGTTTAGTGGAGAGAAATTGGCTTAAAGAGTGTGTTGGGTCAGGTCTTGGAGACCAACTCCAGCACCAGTTAGAGTTGATTTCCCCAGTTTCCCTGTCGAGAAGTGATTTGGATCTTTCAAAGTGACACAGTCTATTCTAAACTGTCAGTTTTGTGGCATTTTCCTCTACATCTCTGCTTGATGTGTGATTATATTGCAGTTCATCAGTCAGGTTTATTAGTGGACTTAATTGGATTGCATTAGCTGGCATTTAAGCCATCCAAACCAGTCGAGAATGCAATCAATTAAAACATCCAAACACATTAATGGTGCAGACACAGGGCAATTTATGTAGATGGCTAATTACCTGTTTACTTCAGTAAGCAGGTTTTATTGCCCAAGAATGGACAAATGATGCATGAGAAGAAAAGAAACAACATTGCAAGAATACTGTTGGCAAGGCTGCAAAAAATAAGAAAATGGCAGGGTATAATTGTCTCTATTGTTAAACTCTGCAGTGAAAGAACAAACCCTACACCGTGACAGGCACTCAGAGGTGTTCCTAATCATTTAAGATTTTAATGGGAGTTCTAGAGAACACAGTGAGTGTATTACCAGGGTTGGAATGTCTCATAATGGGACATCTGAGCTTTCTAAGCAATCAAGATGCTCGGTGAGATGGTCATTTTAAAGTGGGAAAGTACTAATCCCTGTCAGTTTTTCATTTCATCCACTACTGATCTGGATCCAAACCTGGGCCTCCCTCGTGGCTGGAGGTCCCTGTCCCTCACACTGGGTGAGGTGTGGTTGGTGTCTGGTGCTGGGCATCTGCAGCACTGACCTGGAGAGGGAAGCACAACTGAGGGGCACAACAAAATGGAAACCAAGGGCTGGAATGGGATCATTAGCATCCTCCTGTGCTTCCTGCTCCCTCCTACAACCCCCCTCTGGTTTTGCAGCTACATTTTCTCATTGACTGTGACACAGCTCAGAACGAGCCCCACAAACTGATTATCAGACACTGCTCTTCATTTCCTTTACAGTCCCCGGGGAAATTCCTGTGCTCGTTTATTCTCTGCAGCTCCTGGCTTTTTGGGATTGTGCAGGGAACACAGAGACACAAAAATGATTGGGTTGGGTGGTGAGCCAACCCCAAAGCCACAGCTGATGTGGCAGGGTTTGCTCTGCACACAGGACAGGTCCTCAGGGGCTGTCAGGAACACGGGGTGGGCTTGCCAGAGCCTCCAGGAGGTTTTGGCCACGCATCACATGCCCAAGATAAACTCTGGAAGGGAAGAGAACTGAAAATGAAATGGTTACAAGTGTCTCAGGTGTGTGGGTTCCACACTTGTACTGAGGTGTGGCACTCACGGGGTCGGTGGCACCAGGCTGTGACACCAGGGAGGGCCAGGACTGGCCTTTGTCCCTCTCTCGGTGAGAAACCAAAAATAACATCACTAATCATGGCTGGTTTTTCCACTCTCTGCTGCCATACTTTGGGACTGGCTCATGTTCTCTAACCTCACCATTTGGGTGGCAATTCCTTCCTCCCCTGCCCTCATACGTCCCCACCTTCTGAGTGCCGCAGACACCAATATCAGCTGTTTGCCTTCCACCCTCCAAGCACTTTTGGGAGCAAATAAGTCAGTGCTCCTGTGCTTGGGGTGTCAGAGTTGCACACAGGTGAGCTCTGCAGCATTCCTTGGCATCCTGCAGAAAAAGTAGCTCCTGGAACACAGAGCAGGAGCGGGAGGAGAAAGAGTCTTCTGAACCCCACAGCTTTGGGATGCTGTGCCTGCTAAATAATGAGTCATTTTTCTTCAGGTGCCACTGAGAAATGGCCAACTGAACCAGCAGATTCCAGCACAGACCAGTTTATCTGAAACACAGCTGAAATAGCCAAGGCTGCAAAGGCAGAGCACCCTGGCAGTGATAATTCCATGTCACACATCAAATTGATGGTGGCAGCGGCTCCTCGGAGCTCTGGCAAATTGGAAATGGCTCAGTGCAGCAGCAGGGCCATGATAACACAGTCCATCTTCTGCAGGGAAATGATAGTAAAAGAAATGGCTTTTGGATTAGCTGTTATTAAAGTGAAACATCTGCCTCTGCAAGTGGAGTGCAGTGTCCTAACCCGGGCATGGGGAAGCTCATGAACGTGCCTGGGTTTGCTTGGCCCGAGCCAGGGCCACACTTCCACAGGGCTGGGGAGCACAAGGGCTCAGGCTGAGAGTCAGGAAGACAAATCCCCAGGAGATGTGTCAGCTTCTAAAGCAGTTGCAGAAGTTGACTGATTGTTCAGACTCTCTCAGTACCCGGGAGCACATAACCAAGTGAGATGGGAAAAATAAACGGGAGCGACAGGATTTTAGAGGAAATGAAACCTTTTGAGGTCAAAAAAGCTCAAAGTTTAGCTCTGCCTGAACTCGAGGAACAGCTTCCAGTCGAACAGTTGATTCCAAACACTTTGCCATCATTTCTAAGCTGTTCTTTGCCTGCTGGACTGCAGAGCAGGAGGTCAGGAAACTTTACTTGTCTGACTGTGTGATGCAAATATTCTCACACCTGATTTTCCTTTTCTGTACATAGAAGGAATGTTGGATACTTCAGAGAGGCAGAACTGGCAGGTAGTTGTTTGTGTAGGAGCATTCTGAGCCATGATTTCAGTTTTCTTTTGTTATTCATTACCTGGTGATGATACACAACAAAGTCCTCTGTGTTTTAAGGTTGCAGGATACTTTAAAGGAACAAAATTCATGGAGAGAGAAGAATTATTTGTTAGTGTCTGTATAGAGGTCTGAGGTGAACAAACTACAGGTATTTAACCTTTCCTTGGGATGGCTGTAGCTTCAAGCTGGATTACAAACAGGTATCCAGTTTCACTATTTGTTAGGCTGCAGTCTCTTCCTGATTACATTCGTCTTGATTCATACAAATATATTTGAATTCTTCACAGTTTTGTAGCATTTGCAGCACCAAACCATAAGGGTATGTCCTAAAGCACTAAAGAGGCTCTCTATACAGAGTCTCTCTTTGAAATATTCAGCCATGGGCTGCATGCACAGAGTGAGGGACAGATCTCAAAGCAGTTGGAAGCAGCTCCACAATCTCCACGAATTGCAGCTTAACATTAAAGAAACCTACAGAAATGACCACTGCGGGTTCTTTTAGTCAGATTCTTCAATCTGAAAGAAGTGGAAACAATAGCATCTTGCTGCCAAACAGGGGGAAAAGTACTCATCAGTGTCACCGGGATTAAAATCAAAGTAACTCTTCTTGAATTTGAAGGGAAAGAAGCCCAATCTCAGCTGTGCTCTTAGGGCAGAAAAGGAACATGCAGAGAGGGAAAATGAGATGGGAGATGGAAGGTTACAGATGATGTCAGTGCTCTGGGGTTGATTGCATGGCTGCTGAATGAAGTTTCACTCTGGGTTGTTGCCTTTGAGACAACAATATAACAAAAAAGAAAAGGCTCCCTCTCCCTTTCATCCCAATCAAAGCAGGAGAGCAGTTCTCAGCAGTGCTTTGATCTTTGTTTTCAATAGTAGTTTCTGTTTTTCTCTGTGGTTGTATTATCACACTCCAAAAACATCAGGAGAAGTCACTCGGAGAAGCCAAAACAAACAGAGGAGGTGGTTGTTTTGAGTCCCACCTTGTTTCCTCTATGGGAACCCTCCTGAGCTCAGGGTCCCCCTCGCACAGGTGAACCCCCTGGATGTACCAGCACTAAATTTGGGGTGTCCCCAAGTCCACCTGTCCCTGCCAATGATGAAACCAGACACATGACAACAGGTACACCCCTTCTGAGCATTCCAGAGGCTGATTCCTGTGCTGTTCCCCGTGGATGGGGAGGGATGAGGGAGTGCTGCAGCACTAAGAGCAGTCCCAGCAGCAGCACCTCGGCCGCTGCCCCCAGCCCCAGCTCCTGCTGCACATGGAACATTCCTGGTGAGTTCATGCTCCAGCTTTGGTGCTTGAATATCCAGGAGTGTGAAGGATGGTGTTTAGCACCTTTGGCAAACACCCCTACAGAGAGATTATTCCCATTATCTGCTCTGGCAAACAGAGACATAGGATCTGGCAGGCCCAGGTGAAGTCTGGAGTCCGGCTGCCTGTGTGCCCCAGATAACAGGGCAGGACTCCCAGGACTGGATATCTCATCTCTGTTGAGTCTCATCCTTCATATTATCTATTGCTTTACTGTTCCCTGGGCCAGTAAAACAGTTTACTTGGCATCTGTGCTACTCCACTGCCCAGTATTGGTGCTGATCATTGCAAATCCACTGCACTTTGACAAGGGCAGAGCCTTCCATCCAGGAGTGGGTCAGGAGAGGGGTGTTACACCCATGGTCCTCCAGAAACACATGACAAAAGTTATTTTTGACTGATCTTTTTGACTGGCCTGTAAAAATAAAGCCACTTAACTGAATAGTATGTGTTAGAGCTAATCAGATGTCATGGAAATACATTATTATTCATAAGCTGCAAGCCATTTGAATGATTTCCTTCACTAGGACTGGAACACCTGTGTTAGAGTTAGTTCAATTTAGCCAGAAGAAAGCTTTCTTCCCAAAGGGGAGTTTGCATAACCCACAATAAATAATTTTAGAGAACTCTGAATACTGCAACTCCCTTTTCCCCCACGGCCCTCTTGGTCAGTTTTGCTTCACCATCAGAAACTTTCTCCTTCTCTCATCCTGCTCGGCGTCACATCTGTTGCATGTTTATCACGAGCTCCTCATCTCTCCCTCGCTCCTGCAGCCTCACAAACAAACCACACAGCAACCAGAGAGCGGAAAATCCCCAAGCAGGGAGATCAGTGGATGCTGCAGCCGGACGCCTCCCGCTTCAGCCTCGCCCTCAGCCTCTGCAGCTCGGGGTTTTTATCAATCTGCAGCCCGCAGTCGGTGACCTCCCAGGCCTGTTGGTAGTGCTGTGTTTGGAAGCTGTGCTGTGCGATGCTGAGGAAGGCCCTGGCCAAGGCCTGGCTGCCGGGGCGCTCCGCGATGCTGCCCAGGGCCGCGGGCCGGTCCAGCCGCAGGGCCTGCATGTACTGCTGGACTGCCGCCTCCTCCTGCCCCACAGCCAGCAGCAGCAGGCCCCTGGAGCACAGATCCCGTGCTCGTGTCCTTGGGCTGTGCCCGCCGTGCCCCTGGATCACGGTGTCCATGTCTGCCAGGGCCCGCTGGTGCTGCCCCAGCAGCCCGAGGCACTTGGCCCTGCGGCGCAGGGAGCGCGGGCAGGCCCCGCCGGCCACCACGGCCAGGGACAGGAACCCCAGGGCCTTCTCGTACTGCTGCCCTTCCACCAGCACCTGGCCCTGCTGGGCAGCCACCTGTGGGGACAAAAAGACTTCGAGTTAGGTACAGAGTGGAAAAAAACCAGGAAAACATCCGGGCTGGATAGGTCACACACACAGACACCGAAAAAGCTTGGGTGTTTTTCAAAAGTTGAATCATAGAATCATAGAATCAGCTGGGTTGGAAGGGACTTCCGAGATCACCAAGTCCAACCCTTGATCCAACTCTGCCGTGGTTCCCAGCCCGTGGCACTGATGCCACATCCAGTCTCTTCTTAAAAACCTCCAGGGATGGAGAATCCACCACTTCCCCGGGCAGCCCATTCCAATGGCTGATCACCTTCTCTGGAAAGAAATTCTTCCTAAGATCCAACCTAAACCTCCCCTGGCACAGCTGAACACTGAGCCCTCTTGTCTTACTGATCACTGCCTGGGAGAAGAGACCAACCCCCACCTGGCTACAACCTTCTTTTAGGTAGTTGTAGAGTAGTTGCATCCAGTTGGAGAACTAACTCCATTCTCTGGTTTTGCCTGCAGGTGTAAAACTCTTGGATCACTTGCTGTTATCTCAGGAGTTTCTGAACCCCGCCTCCTCTTTCTTCCTGCATGTTTGCCTAAAAGTTTGTCAGAATTTCTTCTGAATTTGTTGACATTCCTCAGGAATGATGAACAAAAAGCTGAAGGGACCAACCTCCCCAAAAATATCTTCATGTGCTAATAACAAAGGTTTTGGTCTCTACCAAAGTTTACCCAAGCTGGAGGATAAAAAGGCCAGCTGATGTTTGTGCTAATCGTTAATCTCGAGTGCAAGTGAATTCTCTGCCCCTGTCTGAAGGGAAAAACAACAACAGGAAAATAGAGAAGGCAGAAAGAGGCACATAATTTTTAGGTTCAGGGAGGTCAATAAAGAAAAGTCCATTAGAACTATTTGCCTCAAATGGATTTCTCATTATTTCCCTTTATTGGTAATAAATAAAGCTTTTAAGGTGCTGCAGCAGAGTGAATATTTAAGTTATAAACAAGGCTGCCACCAGCAGTGGGGTCTTACAAAAGGCTGAGCCAAACAGCAAAGGATAAATATTTTCATCTCTCTCATTTTGTGGGATAACACTCCCTTTTGGATGCTTATGGCCCCCCAGAACCCAACTAGCCCAGCCACTGTCTCAGGAGCCCCAGTGGACAGCCAGGTCAGGCCTCTCAGTCTCTTTATGTGCCTTTTTATTTTGGTTGACTTCGATTAGAATTGATTGTTGTTGAGCAGGACTGAGGAAAACAGCTCTGGATGAGAGGGGTCAGTGTTGCAGGGCAGGTCTGAGCACCTCGTGTGAGAGCAGTGGCAGGAATACTTTAGCCACTCCTAATGGTTTGTGAGGAATTTCACCCCAGTTATTTTGTTACAATGTATAGAATATATATAAAAATAATATACATATGTTTAGCTATTTTGCTATATAAATGTAAAATTCTTTATGTAATAATATTTATTAGAGAGTCTCTCAGCTTCCACACGTGGAAATAGCAGTGGGACCTCTCCTCAGTCAGTGTCAATCCCTGGCTTTAACAATCCTGGCTGTAAATTGTGAGGCAGACTGTCCAAACCTGCCTCAGATATCTGTACATACATTTAAAGAGCAGCAAGTTTAGTTTGTGCTTTGAAATGTATTTAAATCAACCAGTCAATGCAAGTGTTTCCTCAGTGGCAGGGTTTTAACAAGGGGTCAAGGTGGAACTGCAGCTGGCAACAGAAGATGTTTTTTTCCCCTAGAAATTCCAAAGTTCTAGATCACATTGTTCCAGAGAACACAGTGCAATTCCTCAAAATACCTTGTGTTTGTGTAGTTAAATTGTCATTTGCAGCATTTAAAGTGCATTTGTTGTCTCAAAGGCAGAAGAAAATACAATTTTTGTTGTTCTGCTTGGTGACTAACCTAATGCTGAAGGTTTCAGCAGCATTTTGGGTTACTGCACCCATACAATATTCCATTTATTAACTGAGCCACTGCTTCCATTTCTTCACATTTCCCTGGGAGTTCCCAAAGTGAGCAAGCCACAGGATTCTGCATTTCTTGCCAGACTTGGGGGGGAAAAATTATTCAAACTTGTCACTAAATGTTTGATTGTGGCTTCCAGAGTGGAATAATTCTGGTGCCAGCTGGAAAGGGCTCTGTGTGAGCCTGGTGACTGGGCTTCCTGGGACAGGTCTCTGTGTCCTTTTCTTCCATCTCTTTGCCTCATAGAGTGATAAAGGACTGAAAATACACATATTTTGGGGCCATTTTTGGTTCCAGTCCCCAGTGACTGATCTTGTGCTGCAGGTGACCAAGGTCCTCAGAAAGAAAAGGAGTGAGGATTTTCATGGAAATGGAACTATGGCAAAGGGTTACTCCCTGAGCAGTAAATCCCAGAAGATGGATTGATGAACACTGAGCTTTGGGAGAGGGTTGGATGCTTTCAGAGCAGTTTGGAGCAAGTCCTTCCTTCTTCACCTGCACATTCCCTGAAGGAATGTGAAATGATAACTTCACCTTGGGCTAAGAGCCTAATTCCATCACAGACCATACAGTTTTAGAAACCATTTTTGTAGGGGTCTGGGTATCCTCTGGCATGTCCACAGCTCAGAGGATCCAGTGAGGAGTTGGGAACCTCTGACTTAGGAAACCAAAGGGTTGAAGCTGCACCAGCAGCAGCAAACTCCCTTCCTGTGACCTTTTGCAGCTTAATAAATCTTTCAGATTCCTATTCCCATGGGGCTCTCCCAGTTGTTTACAAATTTCTTTGCGTGGGACCCCTTAGACTATAAATAAATGGGAGAATTTTCTTGCTTTGTTTTTCATGAAAAAAACTGAGAACATCAAGGAGCTCTCTCCTTCCTCCACCCTTTCCTATTCAGCTTATGGGAGATTATTTTTAGCCCTTCAGACCAGACTCTAGGGTAATGATGACACGTTTCTAGAACCTCCAAACACTCTAAAACAATGTGGCAGAAATGCTGCTGTGCTGGAGTGCTGAGACTGAGGGCTGGGTGTTAAACCACTCCACTCTGCTTTGCTGCAGCCTCCTCACCTGTGAGCTGGGGGTGACAGAAAGAACAGCCTCTCCCAGGGTGTGGCTGGGAGCCATGGCAGAGCAAGGCCATTGTTTTGGCACTAATTCTGCCTGTAAATGTATTTTTTCTTTTACTGAGATCTCCCTTTTGCTCCCAAACTGGACTAACCTCGCAGGCAAAAGGAAGTGCTGCTGGGAAGGGCTTTGAGACACCAGGCAGGTGAATGAACCAATTCCTTCTCCACCCCAGAAAGTAAACACTTATTGTCACAAAATACATAGAAAAAGACCCAGATGCTTGAGCTCAAATGTTTACTCAGTTGAACAAAAGCAGAATATAAAAGAGACTAATGCTTTCTTTTCAAACTTCTAACACTGGTATGAGTTCCAGTTTTGAAATCAGTCCTGTTCACCCCTTTTCTCTCAAGTTTGCAGAGAAATCTTTCATTTCTCTGTTTCAAGACAGAGACAAAGAGCCTCTCCCATTTTAAAGGCTTCACTCACCCGTGGCACCATTAGGTTCTGACACAGCAGTGCAGTTTAAGCTATAGAAAAAGCAGTTTGGGGGTTGGGGTTTTTTTGTTTGTTTTTCTCCTTCTCTTTCTTTTTCTCTTATTGACAGCACAAGAATATCCCTCCTGTGTTGTCTCACAGAGCAGCACGGGTGGATTTAGCTGAGAGACTTCCCCACAGAAGGAGTGATGTGGCAGCAAGGGAAATTCAGCTGTAAAATGCATCTTCATTTACAGACACCTCCTCAGGGCCTCCACAGTCACAGTCTCAGCTGCACCTTTATCAGCTTTCCAAAGTGGAAGATTGCAAATTGGCTCCGAAACCTTCCAACTCTCCCCCATAAGACTGAACTTTTTACATTATTCAGGAGTGAGGGGCTCTTTTCTCTGTAATGGGGCACGTCTGGGGACTGGTAAATTAATACTTGTTTACTTATATCCTCCTGCTGTTTTGTTAAAATACATCCCAAGTACTCCCCTCGATGCATTAAGTGTGTCAGCATGTTGTTTGTTTTATAACCTGGGAGAGAGCATAACAATATAAGTTCTCACCAGGGCGCACACCAGCCCCAAATTGAATCAAAGGAAGCAAACTGCTTCTCAGAGCACAGAGCTTCTGGGTAATCAGAATTGCAGATGCTTGACTGACTGTTAAAACTCCTCACCATCAATCTCAACTTCTCCTGTCTTATTACTGGAGATTCTTTCTCGGAGCTGGGTGATCTTTGGGGGAGAAACTTGAAAAAAAATGCCTGATTATACATATTTGGGTGGACTGGAGCAACATCATTGCTGTGCCCAATAGTTTTAGCTAAGAAAACCAACCTCAAAGGCCAGTAATGTTATACAAATGTGAATATAAAAGTCTTCCCACACACTTCTGCTCACGACAAGGCAGGAAAAAATCTCTACAGCCTGATTTTGCCTCCCATTTCTTTCCCCACAGGTGTGGATCAAGAAGAGGATTGTACCTGAGCGAGCTGCTGCTGCTGCTTGGTGTCCACGAAGCTCAGGAGAAATTCCAGCTCCCTTTCATCTCTCTGGGCCAGGGCACTGAGCGAGTGAGCTGCTCCTGCCACGTTGCTCCTCTTCAGCTGCAGCACAGCCAGTCGTGCCCTGGCAGAGTCCTCAGAGGGGCAGTGGCCAAAGGCTGCCTGGAGGTGGGTCAGGGCCTCCTCACACCTCCCTGTGGGGTGATACCAGCACAAGCTGCATAACCCATTCCTTGGGGGAAGAGACACCAAAGAAATTCCCTAAAGCAGGATTTAGGAAGCCTGTCCACAGCCCACACCTAAAGGTGTTAATTACTTCAAACTCCTTCCCAAAGCATTTCCAAGCTTCTCTCGAGAAGTGCTGCCCCGAACACACTTGGCCACTGAACATTCGCTTCCTTTCAACTCACTGCTCACTCAGCTGTGCCAGAGGGTTGGAACTCACCACTTGCAATCAGAACATCTGTGTAGAAGATGTGATATTGTGCAGCCCTGCAGATTCTGATCAGTGCTCTTGCAATCACCAGGAGGTCCCTGAGGGTTTCTCCCTTTGAGGTGTCTCTGGTGGCCACGAGCTGGGTCAGTGCAGCCCTGCCGTGCTGGAGGAGCCACCCAGTGAGCAGCTCTTGGGCTTCACCCTTCAGGGACAGGATTGCTGGGATCACTGCTCCTGCCTCCACCTTCAGTGCTGAGATCAGATCTTGCACTGCCTCCTATGGAAAAACAACACCAAGAAATGAAACAGAAGCAATAACTAAATGTTGGTCATTTGTTCCTTCAGGTGCTTTCAGTTCTCTGCTGTCCCACAGAAACTCTTTGCTCTGCCCTGTCCTTGTCCTGCATCTTTTCCATTTGCAAAGCTGGTAGAAGGGCAGAGAGTCAGGTTTGGATGGCTGTTTGCAAAGTGTTTGGAACTCCTTGGGTTATCACTGAAAATCATGACTAAGGTTTAGCTCTCCTCCCTCTGCTTGGGAAAGCAAATCAGTGATGTCAGGTGGGCTGCTTATACACCCAGCCCAAACCAGTGCCCTTCACTGCCCAAATTCCGTGAGAAACTTGAATTCATGACAAACTCTGGGATGCCTTGCACTGATGCTGTTTAACACTCTCAGAATAACCCCCAGGAAATCAGCACAGTGGAAGTACCTTCTGCTGCCTCAGAGCGAGGAACACGAACCCTCGGCCGCTCAGAGCCTGCACGTTCCTGGGGTCCTCCTTCAGGATGGCATTGAAGTCAAAAATAGCAGTTTTCATCTGCCCCAGGCGCCCGTAGCACCGAGCCCTGCTGAGGAGACAATCCCCAGCACCACCACCTGCAGGACAGGGATGCAGCCACAGTCACTCCGGGATACCCACAGGAAGCCAGAGAAAAATTCCACTTTGCCTGAGGATACTTGAGGAAGTGCAACAAGAGGGCTTAAGTGGAAGTTTCCTTTATTTTTGTTGCAGGTGGAATTCTTATCTCATATTATCACTTCTGAGTTGAAAGGGAAAAATAATCCGTGTGGGGTTGGAATAGGAGCTGCACAAATGAGAGGAAAAGCTCCAAGGAGGAGATCTGTGGGGATGGGAGAGTGGAGGCACAAAGCCATTTGGCTGCTTTAATAAAGTGGAGTCAGAATCACAGAATAGTTTGAGTTGGAAGGGACCTTAAAGAGTCCAACCCCCTGCCATGGGCAGGGAAGGTACACTTTGTTTGGGATAAATGAGTAATCCAGATGGGACGGACTAATTCCCTGCCAGAATTAATATGCACTGGGATTTGGGATACTAAGCTTTTTTTTTTTTGCCTTTTTTTTTTCCCCTCTGCTTTCACATAAGTGCTGCCCAAATAAACACATAGAGCTGACAGTGAAAATCCTGGTCCATCCACTCCCTGGCTGCAGAGCATTTATCTTCCTGCCATCCACATGCCCCTTCCTTTCAAGGCAATTTCGATAAGGATCTTAACATGCCCAGGGTTGCAATCCATAACTGTGGCATCCCAATACTGGATGATAAATCATCAGTGCCACTGGAAATATGTTTTCATAGGAAGGTCAGCAAACGCAGCTGCCTGCAGAGATGAGCCAGCAGACAGACTCCAAGCAATTCTGTTACAGTAATGAGCCTTTTTCTCCCTCCTGATACGCTCCAAAACTCCTGTACCAAAGGTTATTATCACTCTGGAGCTCGACCAGTTGGCTCCTATAAAGACAATCTCTATTTCTCAACAAGCATCTGTTCCAGCAGGTGGGGAGCTGATAAGCTGGAACGCAGGGGCTGTGAAATGGAACCATCTCCAAGCAATTAACAGGGTTTTTTCCATTTTCATGAGCCAGTCTCTCTTCCCCTCAGTGCTGCTGTCATAACATTTGCTCAGAGTGAAAGGCAGATTTCCATACAAACATGGTTTCACTTGGAACACGCCAGAAGCATTCCCGCCTCAGCCTGAGCTCTCTCCTTGGGAAAAGCTGGGACAGGGATCCCATGTAAGTGGCTGCACTCACTCTTTGCACTGGAACTGCACAGGCTGGGCTTTCTGGCAGGTGGAGAAGAGGGGCTGATGGCAGAGGGGAGATGGCAGATGAGAACTGGCTGGACATTCTGTCCCACCCACTGGTCTGATTTCCCCTAGAAGTCCATCTCCATTGGTACCTTGATGCCCTACCTGCAGCAATAATTGCACAGGACAGGTAGGCAATGGCCTCTTTGATGTGAACATCCTCCTGTTGGCTCTCCAGGATGGCCAGTGCTTGGAAATGGCAGTGGGTTTGCATCAGCTTCCTGTCCTCAGCCTGGAAAATGTCCATGATGGGCAGGAGGCAGGAGGTATCTCCAGTCCTGATCACTCTCTGTAGCAGCTTAACAATGGAAGAGAGAAAGGCAGCAGAGGAAGACTTGCATGAGGAGATGTGAAGTTGTGTTAAACCACCTGGTGAGATCAGTTTGCTCCCACCCAGCGCTTCCCCACCTTCCCCTGGGGCTTCTCCCAGCCACGGTCCAGCCAAGGACAGCAATCTCCTATTTAACTCCTCAGCTGGCTCTGGTGTAAATTCATGGGGGAGAAAACATCAGTTCTTGTCTTTTTTCACCACCACTCCAGCTGTGGAAACAACTGTGGGGAAATGCCTGGTGCTGCCTGGTTTACTTTGGGCAGCATCTGCTCCAGACTGGCAGGGAAGTGTTTATGTAAATGCAGGTGAACCACAGGAGGGTTGCCCCAAAAATAGAACCTTTCTGTGGCCCAGAAGGATTCCAGTGACCCCTTTTGACTATAAAATCAAAACTAGTGAGTTAATGGAAGGTCAGGGAAGTGCTGTGCCTTTTTTTAGTATTGTTATTGGGAATCTGGGAAAAGTATGGATTCAAATCCACAAAGTGTTTTCCTCCTGGAAAAGAATCTTGCCTGACTTGTGGTGTCTTTGCCTCCATTTACTGCAGTGAGATTCATAAGCAAGGTTTTACTGCATTTCCTGTGGAAATGAATCAAAAAATGTTTTCTAGAGCAACAAGTAGGTACTGGATATTCAAATCTGAGCCAGGGAAGCCAGGACAAGAACAAAGTTATCCTGATGCACCAGACACATTGAAGTTATTACTTTCTCTATTTTATTAATAGATAAAAGTGTTTGGCTTCCCACAGGCAGGTGGGATGAAAACACTTTGAAGAGAAAAATTTCTGGTGACGTGTGTCCCCATGCAGAACTTGCAGCTGAAGCTGCAGATAGGAATCCGACTTCCAGGGGCAGCACATGGACTCTAATAAAGCCATGTCGCTCACTGATAACCTTCCCAAAGGCAGCAAATCACACCAAACTTTTACTTTTCACAGGGAGTAGAGAAGTGGTAACAGTAAAACCTTTCTCTTTAGGGTTAGCATTTATGTGGCACTTTAAAAAATGCAATAGTTCCCTCTGATGGCAGAACCCGGGAATTCAGCTTTGCAATCCCCGGTAGGAGGATGAAACACGCTGGAATATCTTCCAGGGTTTCAAGCACGAGCATTAAAGGAAGAAAACCGCAGATTGATATTGGAGGTTTTGTGCCTTTCCCCGCCCTCCTCTCCAGGGCTTCGTTGGGATAATCAGTGGGGTGGCACTGCTGCCTCCTTTTCTCTGGGGGAAAATCACCAATCCCACAATATTGTCCCTGGGGACAGGATGCTCAGCCATGCTCTGCCTGCTTAAAGTCTCTGCTGAAAACAGCCATGAGAGGAATGGGCTGGATTTAGCTGAGAGTCCTTGTGTGTCCTGTGCTGCAGACAGAAAGTCCTGTGGTTCTGATGCATCTCAGGCCTGTATTTAGATCTTAAAACTTTTGCTAAAGGTTGAATCACCTAAACCTCACGTGGGCTCCAAATTCTACTGTGTCAACAGCTCTCCCTCTTGCTGTTCCTGGAGCTTCTAACAGCAAAAATTTAGTTATAAAAGGACAATGCACACAAAGCACGGAGCAAGAGGATTAATCTTTAATTTCACTGAGGTCTGGGACAGGCAGGACCAAGCCAGACAAATGTTCAGGAGGGAATGACCCTGAAGGGGAAGCTTTTCCAGGTGCTCCTTACCTGGTTTCCATCACACACAAACCCTTTCTTCAGCTGCAGCAGTGCCAGCCTGGCCAGGACAGGAGCCCTTTGGGGGTTTCTGGAGAGGGCCAGCGAGAGCAGCCTGTGGGCTTCTTCTGCACGGCCCATCTGGTACAGGGCGTCAGCACAGAGGATCCTGGAGGCCTCATCAGCAGTGTCCAGCTCCACCAAGAGACAGGCCAGCTGGAAAACCCCAGGGGCATCTCTGGAGGGGAAAAACACAACAAAACAAGCCACCTTCAAGGTCAGGAATCTGCCCAGCGCTGTTTGTTTCTCTGAAAATGAACCAAACTGCCCCCTGGGTACCTCTTCTTCTGGAGCATCCTCTGTCCTTCCTCTTGGAGAACTTTCAGCAGCAGTCCCCTTTGGTTCCATGGCACATAAGACTTGATGGTGAAGATGGTTTCTTCCAGCTTTAACTGGCAGGCTGTGATGTAATCCAGGGCTGTCAGGTAAGAGCTGCCACCAGCAATGCGGACGAGCCCACGGCCACACAAGGCTTTAATGCAGCTGTTGGGATGTGGGGAATCGTGCTCAATGACCTTCTGAAAGTCCTGCAGGGCCTGCTGGTGGTCCTGGGCGTGCAGGGAGCAGAACCCTCGCAGTGCCAGCAGGGTGTTGTGGTAAGTTCTCTGCTCCACTGCCAGGAGCTGGTCACAGATGCCCAGGGCAGCCCCGGGGTGGCCCTGCAGGAGCTGGCAGTCTGCCAGCCGGACACTGAGCTCCCTCTGGGACCCCGGGCAGAGCTGCAGGAGGAGCTGGATCATCTGGATGACAGGAGGGAGCAGTTCAGCCCCACGATTGCCCCTGAGCTCGGTGCGAGCACGCACGGCCTCCCTGTACGCTGCAAACTTCCCCTCCAGGACAGTTCTAGCCTGCTCTTCAATCTTCTCGGTGTCACAGGGTGAGAAAAGCTCTTCAAAGTGTCTCCTGGCCTGGGCAGGGTTTGCAGCAAAGGCTTCTGCTAAATCCTGCATCATTTCCTGCATCCGTCCACCCAGGGAGCAATAGGCAGCAGCCCGTTCCAAGAGCAGGCCCAAAACCGCCTCATCTCTGAGCTGACCAGCTGAGAAGCCCTCAAGGGCCTTGGTACAAAAGGCCACACACTCCTGGAATTTGCCCTGTTTTAGGAGGTGAGCTGCCTGCAGCCTGCACACCCAGACATCCCCCGGTGCCACCGCAGCCAGGAAGCCATAGCAGCTGCCCAGCCACTGCTCCAAGGAGCTGCAGTCTGGGCTTTCCTTCTGGCATGTTGAGAGGTAGCTGGAGAAGGCCTGGATGACCCGTGGCAGGTGCTCCCCTTGCCTGTTGCACACATAGGCTGCCACCTCGGCCCCGTGCAGCTCGAAGGCTTGGACGTACCCTGCCACCCCCTCCCTGAGCCCTGTCCCCGACAGGACTGATGCCAAGGCCCTGAGCAGCAGCAGCTCCATGGGGCACCCTGGGCCAGCCTGGAGCAGGACATCACATCTCCTCAGCACCTCCTCCGAGCACTCTCGCCGCAGCAGGGCCTCCAGCTCGTACAGAGAGGACACCACATTGTTGGGGCTCAGGGCGGAGAGGAAGATGGCGGCTATTCCCACACTGAGGGACACGACGGCCAGGTTCCTGCTCTGGATCCTGGGAATCTGCCCCTTGCCTCGGCACCAGGTCTCCAGAGTGGCTATGACCTGCTCCCGGAGCCTGCTGTCCATGCAGGTCACCCTCTGCTCTGCTGTGGGGGCACAGCAGCTGAAGGCAGCCAGGTAGAAGGCAGTGGCTGTGGGCAGGTCCTGCTGGGCCAGGTGCTGGTCCCCTTCCCCACAGAGCAGGGCAGCGAGCTCCTCAGGGGACATGCTCTGCCCCCTCACCAGGCAGCATCACACAGGTGACAGGGCTGGAGCCTGTAAAACAGAAATCATAGAATCATAGAATCAGCTGGGTTGGAAGGGACCTCTGAGATCATCAAGTCCAACCCTTGATCCAAACCAGCTGTGGTTCCCAGCCCATGGCACTGATGCCACATCCAGTCTCTTCTTAAAAACCTCCAGGGATGGAGAATCCACCACTTCCCTGGGCAGCCCATTCCAATGGCTGAGCACCCTCTCTGGAAAGAAATTCTTCCTAATATCCAACCTAAACCTCCCCTGGCACAACTTGAGGTTGGCTGGGAAGCAGCCACAAAGCCTGGGCAGTGCTCCCTGTCCATGGAACATCCAGGACGAGTCCGGGCTCCCGCTGGGCTGTGCCCTCCCTGGCTGAGACCCCCCCTGTGATGAACCTTTAACCATCGGCCGCCGGCAGCGCTGGCACGGGGGAGACGGGACCGCTCCTTGATGCTTCACCCCCCGCTTACCTTTTCCCCTCGCCTCGGCAAAGGAGAAGCGAACTCGCAGCGGGAAGGACGAGGCTCCCGTGGCTCATCCCTCACCTGTGCAGGTGAGGGGCCCTCGGGGGACGAGCCTGGGCGTGCGGTGGGTCCTGGAGAGCGGAGCTGGGGTGGCTTGGGCTGAGCTGAGGTGAGACGAGGAGGGGAGGGAGGGAGGGCAGGAGCGGGCGCTCTGTTGCCTGGAGACCGCAAACACAACGCGGTCCGTGCGGGGATGGGCTCGGGGACGGTGCCCGCGCTTCTCCTGCCTCCTCCCGGGACACCGGGATGCGCAGGGAAAGGAGCCCGAGGGAAAGGACTCCCCTGTCTTAGGGACAAGCAGCTCCTCACCTCAGGGAGGGTAACCCGGGTTGTGACCCTCAGCAAGACAAGATACAGGGAATTACACAAACTGGTGAACTGTGGTGTAGCCTACACATTTAACTTCATTGTTTAATGAGAAACCATATTTTTAAATAATAACCCTTATGTTTGAATAACAACAGTGGTTTTTAGCAGTAAATCAACTGTGTTTTTAGGAGTATCCAGCCTGGCAACGTCCCTTTAAGCCAGGGCCACTCTGGAGCCCAACTCTTTCCTTCTCCATGTTCCTTGACATTCAAAAGAAGAAAAAAAACCCTCTATGATGGATGGAGATTTTTTTTACATTTTATTAAGAGTTTGCTCATTACGTTGATTTGATTACTTTCACTTTAATTACCCTAATTAGCCGTCAAGATATAATTTAGCATTGCTGTCACATCGGGCCACAGGTGATATTGCCAAAAAGGACTCGAGGGCATCAAAAGAGCAAGTTCTGAAATAGAAATCACATTAAAGGGAGCTGGGCTGACCAAACACCTCTGGGGTTCAGGAATTGAGCTTGTGGGAATAAAACCGAGACTGGAGCCTCCGATGGATCGTGGTCTAGGCTTCAAAAATCATTACCCATAATTTGACTTTGCTGCATGACTGAGTGGTCTGGAAGTTGCTTCCAGCCACGTTTTGCCTTGTAGATCCAAAGAACATGAGGATGGCAAAGTCCTCCATCCATCATTTCCAGCAGAAAGAGTCCTGGTTGGGTTTAAGAGTCCCCTGTGCTCCCTGCTATACACAGATGGTTTAGGGGATGTTGTCACAACCTGTGGGGAGGCACTGTTCTGTTGTCTTAGGGTTTTATAGCAGGTGGTACAAATACAACCAATTGTATGTTGTGTATCAAACTTCAGCTGAAATTAATTCAGGTTCCTAACTTTGGTCCTTGAAGGAGTAAGAGGAACAGCATCTAAGGAGCTTGGTGCAGATGGAAAAATAGTATTTTCCTGACGTGTGTGAGTGGAGTCCAGTGTGAAAACCTGTTGTTGTAAGTGGTGGAACCAGGGCTGTGACTTAAAGACTGCAGGTTCTTCTCAAGCCACCAGACAATTTGCTGTTTGTTGTCCTGTGGGGCAGGTGAGACAAACTCCTTTTTCAGGATCTCAGAAGCACAAGGTGGGGGAAAAGTGGGGAGATGTTTATGCAAACATTAAATATTGAGTATGCTGCACACTCATTAAATAGTAAGTATGCTACAGTAGCTCCCCGTGGTGTCTCTGATTACAGATAAATTTTTAAAGGGAGGTGTGTGTGTGTGGGGGGGGGGGGGGAGTAAACACAGCACAAGTTTGCAAATTTTGCTTTTTCCTGCTTTGCAGAGCAGTAGCTGCACTGACACCTGTCTGAAGCAACCTGTGTCAGAGACACGGGGCTGAGAAATCTTGCACTTCTTTCTTTTGAAGGCTCTTGGTGCCTCCAGCATGTGTAACAAATCCCTTCCCTCAGGCTTTTAGGTGTCAGGTGTAGTTGGGGCTACAGGTGAGAAACCAGTAATTTGGTGTTGAAAATTTGTCTTAAAAGAGGAAGAGAATGAATTTTCTTTGACAGAAAGGAGTGTAATGGTGTGGGGCAATCTTTGATTTATCTGAGTGTCACTCTTCACTCTGAGCTGTGCCTGGGTTGGAGAGCAGACACCAGATCCTGCCCTCCTTCAGGCTGAGGATTCAGGCTGGGGAATGAAGATGGTTTGTACTGAATGAGACAGTGCCCACAGCTCTGGTGATGTGTGAAAGCACAGGGTGAAATTTCACCCCTGGGCACATTCTGTTCCCCACCCATGGTCTGCCCCGAGGGTTGGGCTGCCTGTGGCTCCGGGGTCAAACAGAGCCAGGATATTCTTCTCTCCTGAAGGAAATTTGCACCCCTGGCACCGTGTTCCCCCCAGCTCTGCTTTCCTTTGGGTTGGAACAGTTGATCTCACGTGGAGACTGAGCTTTGTATTGGCAGGTCTGCTTCCTGACGGGATCTGCTGGAAAAGGGGACACGGAACAGTCATGTTCAGGATGTTCTCAGCCAGCCTTTTATGTGCTGTTCTGTATCACAGAAGCATTTAGGCCTTGGAAAAGACCTCCAAGATCATGGAGTCCAACCTTCACCTTTTCAACTAGACCAGAGCACTCTGGATCTGGTTGGTCATTACCAAATTTACCCCTTTGCTCAAGCTTCTCAGCAAGACCTTGAGGAGTGAGTGCCAGTCTTGGCTTTCCACTTGGCTTTCCAGGCTTAAATGTCAATGTGGCAACACATGAGGCACCCTGGTGCTCTCTGGGTGCACAAAGGTGAAGGTGTGTGGACACAGAAAGCCCAAACCATCTCTTTGTGCACTGGACTGTCTTGATCTGGGCTCACCCAGTAGGAATGATGATGCAAAGGACTGCAGGGCTCCCGGAGAAGGAGCAGGATTAAGATGCACTTGAGTGAGATTATGAGAAAAGTGTGGTTGTTCCACTAGAGAAAGAAATAATCCCTTTGTTTATATTCTGGAGATTAAAGCAGCAGCACAAAGCACCCAGAGGTCACCACACACAGACTCTACTGCCTGAGTTGTCTGTGCTGGAACTGTGGGATTCAGCTGTGCAGCTGCATAATTTAATGTGTTCTGACGGTGCCCGCGCTTCTCCTGCCTCCTCCCGGGACACTGGGATGCGCAGGGAAAGGAGCCCGAGGGAAAGGACTCTCCTGTCTTAGGGACAAGCAGCTCCTCACCTCAGGGAGCAGGACTAACCTCTGGAGAGCCAAACTCTTCAACTTCCCAGATTTCACATCTCTCTCACCCAAATAATCAGCCCGGCCAGGCTGATTTTCCAACCAGCTCAGCACGTCTGTGTCCTGTGAGGGTGTTTGGAACAGATTCACTTGAACAAAGTCCTCAGTATGCCAGGCAAGTGACAGTCCCCCCAAAATGAATGCCCTTTGCTCCCATTCTTCCCAGTGCCAGTGGCCAGTGTCACCTTTCTGTTGTGTATCCCATGTTTATTTGGGATATAAGCACAGGAAGCCAAGGATGGTGCCTGGTGTGATAAGTGTGATGGGCTGAGTCTCAGAAGGCATCCCCAGCACTGCTGTAACATGGAATAACAGACCATGAGGTATAAAAAGAGGGAAGCTGTTCCAATATCTCACAGATACGCTGCCAACTCAAATTAGACAGTGTTAACCAGCCCACTTTATTCCTCCTCTGTTAATATTGAGGCTTGACTGCTCTTCTTTCCTCTCATTCCTTCCCTCCCTTACAAACAGGGCTAAGGAGACCTTGTTAAGGGATAACTTGCCTGGTTATGCTGTTTCCAACTTGTGGGTTTGGAGTAAGTTTATCAACCAGCCATGGAAACATTAATCACCCAGAAAAATAGCACACACTGAAATGACTTTTCAAAATGTCGTTGGTGTAATTATCATCTTGGCCATTACATTAAATGCCACCATTTATAACTGTTATGTTTAAGTATGCAAACAGTAATTAACTTGGTAATGAACTGAGGACCCCTGTGCCTCTCTTCCCTCGGCTAATTTGCATGTTAATTATCATTAGCAACCAGGGAAACAAGTTATAAACAGCTTAATTAGCAGCTTAATCATTTTTACAAGAAAACGTGCTGCACTTTGATACACGAGCAAGGGTTGGATTAATGAAGTCAGGGGAGCGTGTTCAGTGCTGGGCCTGTTCTGGGACAACGTGGGGCCACAGAAATGTCCTTGCACACCCACGAGCACACCTGGGCTCAGGGCTCTGCAGGAGACTCTGCCTGGTTACTGTCTGCTTAAGGAGTTCTGAAGTTTGAAAGAAAAAATAATTTCCTTTTTTTTTTTCCATTTTGTTTCCTTTTCACCAGAAATTTTCTGATTTTGTGGGAAATTTAGGAAATTTAGGTACAACTTGACTATATTTTTTTTTTTTTACAGGTGGTTATACTTCCATTCCCCAATTACAGTATAAATAATAGGTAGCTCACATGCATTTTGAAGATGGCTTTTGCTTCTTTTCAAGAGTTTTTTAATTACATTTGGGTGTTAAGAGGAGAGGTGGAATTGGGTCTTATTCCTACAAAGGGCATAATAATTAAAGGAAGGCAAATCCTAACAGGAAGGAGGAATGCAAACTAGAGGTTATAGGCGATATTGCCCAGCGTGTC